TTTGAGGAGGGGTCCGGGCTGCCATGAGCAGGTCACCGGCAAGGATTCCTTGGAGTCACCCTGTGACTTCTCCTGTGACTTCATGGTCAGCGCTGCATGTGTTGTCCATGCATGACCAAGAACACACGGGCGGTTCATTCCCTGCACTTCCATCCGTTCTTCTTTTCTCTCCATAGATTCACAAATAATCTCACTTCCTGCTTGGGTTGAGCTTCCAGGAAGATACTTTGTCGTTGTAGGGAAATACATGGCGTGTTGCCCACAGGCAAACACAGCAGGGCGGAAGAGGGTCACTACCACTCTGGCCTGGTGCTGAGTCATAAAGGCAAGTACTGGGTAGCTCTGTTGCACTTCGTTGACCAGCCAGTGCCCAAGCTGTTGAGAGAAAAGTGGAATAAAGTATTCCGTTTGCTGTATGTATAAATGCGGTCCCGTAGAGAGAGACCGCACCCACTGAAGTCTGCACCTCTGACCACCACTTCCTCCCCTTGTGGCCCGCGGGCTCAGGAACTCCAGGCCGGGACAGTTGGGCAGATAGACCTGCAGGCAGTCACCTCCCCCCCAGACTTCTCCTGCTTTGCACCTGCTAGGCTTGGAATGGTCTTTGCCGCTCTGCCTGGCACTGAGTGAACATGAACTCTTGACCCCTTCCCCCGCCAGCCCCTGTCTTCCCTGCAACACGGTAGGTCTGCTCCCGTCCCCTCAGCTGGGCGGTCTGCCTATGCAAACTGGAAACCTGGGCGCCTCAGGAGTCTCCCTGTCGCGCACATTTTCATCCCAGCAGCGCGCGCGTCTCCTCTGCTCTCCCTCAGGAATGTAGCTTGAACCTGAGCGGCTCCACCTCTCCTGCCCCTGCCCAGGTCCCGGCCACCCAATCTCTGTCCCCAGTTGCTGCACCGTCCTCCTGCTCAGTCTCACGGCTCCTCCCAACCCCCACCCCCAAGCCCCCAGAATAACTGTTTGACATCACATCTGCTTTTGACATCACTCTGCCCTGCTTTGATGAAAACAACTTTGGTTTCTTGGCTGACCCTGCCTGATTCGGCCTCTGCCCCCATCTTCCACCCTGTTCCTTGTTCCCTTCCTAGCCACCCCCACCCCGCCCACCTGCCCAGAGCCTCCTTCCCTGTTGTTCCCTGTGTTTGTGCTGTGGCTGGGTCCTCCTTACCCTCTGTGTCTCTGCTTAACTCCTCCATCCTTTCCCAGCTGAATCCCGGCTCCGGGCCTCTTGCTTTCAGAGCATGTAACCATATTTAATAACAATCTAGTCGTTTATCTGCCCTTTCTGAAAGACTGTAAGCTCTAGGAGGGATGCCCATCCATTCCTGATTTCTCTCCCTATTGTATCCCCAACACTTAGCATGGTACTAACGCATAGGGACTGTCAGTAAATCTTTGGGTGGGTGCATGGACACATGAATTATTTATGTAGAATTTATGTAGAATTATTTATGTATTATGTAGAGATGGGCATGAATATAAGTGAGTGTACAAAATACTATGAAGAAGATAACAGAACAGTGGGCTTGATTGAATGGCAGAAAAAAATATGTGGATAAAGAATAAAGTAAATCAGGCAGGTTTGGCCCGAGTGTTTAGAGCATGGAGGGCTTAGTTTCACAGGGTGGAGGGATTGTGAATTCCCAAGGGAGGAGAACAAAGAAGGAAGATGCCGCAGGAAGAGTCAGTGTAGCAGGGAGACCGGTTGGGCTAACCAGGCAATACAGCTTAAAAAGCAGAACGAGGACTCTAGAGTCTGCAGACCCAAGATTTGGGGATTTTTTGCCACCAACTTCCTCTAAGACACTGGGCAAGTTACTTAAGCTTTCTGAGCTTTTGGTTCCACCTTCACAGAACAAGCTTTGTGTGGCAATTTGGTGAGCTGGCATGTGCAAGTCCTGGCTTATAATAAATGCTGAGTTAAAACTGGATCTCCGCCTCCCTTCCTCATCCCGGGAGGAAGTAAGATGGAGCTGTGGGATGTCAAGACTGGATGAGTGAGGTAAGCCTGGGTAAGCAAGAGCCTTTGGGGCCAGCCTGAGAAATTTGCATTTGATCAGTCATGTGCAAGGGAACAACTTGAGCAAAGTGATATAATGAACATGTGTTTTAGGAAAGTCAGTCTTAATCACATTTTATAGGAAAACTGGTGCAGAAACCACTGGAGGCAGAAGGATTTCATAGGTAGCAGTTGAGAGAACGTTGTCTTGGCCAGAGGGAAATGGGCTGAGGTGGGTAAGGAAACAGATGGGATGGCATATGGGAGTGGGGTAAGAAAAGAGTTATGAAGGCTTGGGGTTATGGCTGTGAAAATGTGCAATATGCCTGAAAAAAGATCCAGAAGAAGAGGGCATCAGGGCTTTGTAGGTCTAGCCAAGGCTGGAGGGGACATCTGTGTTGCGCTCTCAGACTGTATAACTGGGTGATGTTTCTTGGGTCAGATCAACAGCTCAGACATGGGAAGGGAGAAGCTGGTAGTTGGTAGCCCTCAACCAGAAGGCTCCAGTAGAGAGAGAAGGTCAAGGAGTAGAGAAGGTTGAAAAGATAGTTGAGGTAAAGTCAAAGCAGAATAAAAAAGCCACACTAGGGGCACCTGGGTGGCTCAGCAAGTGAAGTGTCTGACTCTCGATTTTGACTCTGGTCCTGATCTCCGGGTCCTGGGATCAAGCCCCTTGTGGGCCTCCCCACTCAGCACGGAGTCTGCTTGAGATTCTTTCTCCCTCTCCCTTTGCCCCAGCCCTACTCTCATGTGCCTGCATTCTTTCTCTCAATAAATAAATACATTAAAATCTTAAAAAAATGATGCCGGAGGATTGCTGAGGTGCCAGGACAAAAATGAGGGAAAGAGGAAGGAAGGGAATAGAAAGTGTTCAGGACATTGGTAATTGTACTTCATCAAAGTGGAACCCATAAGAACTCTGCTTCCAGGAGTTGATTTTTCTGCTCATTATGGAATATCTAGAACTAAGACTATGTGGAGTGGTAACATCAGATCACATGCACAGCAGTGTCCTTAAAGATCTTTGAAGGTAAGACCTGGGAGTGAGGTCTGCTTCTGCTTTATAGAGTTGGGCTGTTTTGATTTTTATTTGTTTCTGGTTTGTAGTCCTTAGTGGCTTAGAGACACAGTACAGCTGTTGGGAATGCGTCCTTGGACCTGCTGGGTGTCCGGTTGCTAAGGTAGGGCTTGTCACCACGACCGCTGCCCGGGTCAGGATCAGAGGTTTGTCTCCAGAGATTAAGAAGCCTTTGAAAGAATTGGAAAGAATTCATTAACTAATTTTTAATTGATGAGATTTCTATGAGCATAATCTTCCCTGCAGGAATATACAGTAATTTATTGGGCCCTGTTTATTTCAGTTTCATGTTGATGACCGGAAAGAAAACTTAGAGGGCTTCGTGAAGACTTCCATCAAGTGCCCACCTACCGATGGTAATCCTGGTGTATTTGCTGTGAGTTGTGAGGTGGTGTATCAGTGTTTTCTCTCTTACCCTTCTTGGAGTAATTATAAGGAAATTATGGTGTCGCACCCTTCGTAGTATGACAGTACTTCACTGGGCTTTATCCCCATCCCACATAGCTCTGCAGTATAGTTCATGTATTTTCAGAAACAATTGAAGCTGAAGAGAGTCAGGCCACTTGGCCACTTTCCTATACTTAGGGATAGAGCCAGGAATTGACCCTTGGTCCTCCTTTGAGCTATTAATTTTTCTTTATATATTACCAATGGTGTTTCTACTCCTCAAATTGCCGAAATTATATGGGTGGAGAATATTATAAATAGTGCTGTTATCCCCAGAATCAACATAAAAACTTGAATAAATTTTTCAGACATTATTGTTTATAGAGACAGTAAAATATTTGTAGGGACTTTTATTCATATAAGAATCAATACGAAAAAGTAGGGAACAAACAGAACTTGGAATCCTATGACCTTGGAACCTCCACCCCTCCCCCATGGTCACCCCTGAGCAAGAGTCCCAGATGCTCTAACCTGTGAAGTATGGGGTTAATCATCACTCCATGGTTACTGTGAGAATCAGATATACTAAAATAGGGGAAAGTACATTGGATGTGTCAAACATCATGTGAACAGTTGTCTCTCCCAAAACATAAAATTTTTATTCCCTGTAGTATATTTGGAGAGCAGATTTGTAGAGTTTAATTATGATAAATATATAAGGCATTGTTCAGTTTGAAGCGTGGGTCTTTAACTAGAAACAATTAAGGCTGCTTCAGGCTTTGAAATCCAGTATCCTTACTATGCTGTCTTCTACAATGCCATGTTTATACATTTATGGTAAAGATTTTCTTTTTTTTTCATTGAGTAAGATCTTTAACTGCATTATCCAATATGGTAACACTCAGTTCCTCAGTCACACTAGCCATATTTCATTTTGTTTGAGAGAGCGAGAGAGAGGGAGAGGGAGCATACATGCAAGCGGGGGAGGGGCAAATGGGGGGAGGGAGAATTTTTTTTTAAGATTTTATTTATTTATTTGAAAGAGATCATGAGCAGGGGGAGGGGGAGAAGCAGGCTTCCCACTGAGCAGGGAGCCCAATGCGAGGTTGGATCCCAGGACCCTGGGATCATAATCTGAACTAAACGCAAACCCTTAACCAAGTGAGCCACCCAGGAGCCCTGGGACGGAGAATCCCAAGCAGGCTCCATGCCCAGTACAGAGTCCAGTGCAGATCTTGGTCTCAAGACCCTGAGATCATGACCTGAGCTGAAATCAAGAGTCATATGTTTAACTGACTGAGCCACCCAGGCACCCCTCAGACCTGTGGCTACTGGCTGCCATATTAAACAGCATAGAAATAAAACATTTGGTCATCATGGAATGTTCTACCGGATAGCACTGATTCTAATAAAAATAATCATAAAGACTAAGCCAAGAAAATGGAATTATTTTATTAGCAGAAATACTACTAACATTAAAGAAAAAATAAAAGTTTGGAATATCTTTTGTAAGACTGTCAGACTGGCTTTTGTTAGAAATCCAAATAATACTAAATTGTCTATTCTAGTCATAAATATTCCTTTGTGATATCTCAGATGTTAAAATGTTTACTCAATATGCTATGCAAGTTTAATATGTCCCCCTTTATAGTGCTGTACAGCCAAAGGTTTGGAACTTACTCAAGTGACCGTGGTTGATCCTAGCCTCCAGGTGGTCTATGATACATTTGTGAAACCAGATGAAGAAGTCATTGACTATAACACCAGGTATATAAAAGGGTTGACTTTGAGAATGTAGAATATTCAACATGTAGTTTAGGTGAGTTTTAGCTTAATACTTTTATTGAGTCAATGTTACAGCAGGAGTTACACTATTTTCCTTTAGTTCATTCATTTGTTCAAAAACATTCATATTTTATGGAGTACCTTGCTAAAATTATGCAGACAGACACTGTGTTAGACCCCATGTTACAACCCTAAATAACAGGTTTTCAGCCCTTATGGTGTTGACATGTGGAAGTGGTAGGTAAGAGCTAGAGAGGTAAAAAACATTGAATAAATTATTTTATTCATTGTTCCATCATTAATCAGTTCCTTTTGAAAATGCCCTATTTGCCATTTCCATTCAGTAAAAATTCCCATTGGATAAAAATTTCTGCAATCTTGTAGACATGTCCCTGAGTATACATGGCTTTGATATGGCACGCAAAGTAATGGTTCAGTGCAGATTCTATTCTGTGATCATTATTATTAAAATAAAATGTATTTCTGACCCAAACTCAGTGCTAACTTGAAGTGGTACAATATAGATGTGACTTTAATTTTTTAAAACCTCATATGAAACACCAGTGATATCACTGATCAGTTGAATTTGGGTTTCCTAAAGGTTTATAAGCCATATAACATGACCTATTTATATATTTCCTCAAATATAAAATGGCAAGGATCTAAATTTTCACTTTAGAATAAGAAGTGTTTATTATTGATGTTACTGTATTTACTCAATTTAACACATTCTCCAAAAGTACTTAAAATTACTCAATTATGTGTGTGTATATATATATGATTTGTTTATATATATAAACAAATATGACTTGTATATACACGTACACATATATAGTATATATAATAATGTATATAGTATACATAATATAGTATAGTATATATACTATCTTACATAATATTGTATATAAAGTATATATCATATAATATATAATGTGTATATGTCCATAATTTTGGAACACAACAAAGCAAAGTGGTCATGTAAATTAAAAGTTGTTTTGATGATAAATATTGAGAATATGTATAGAGAATTCTAATAAGCATTTTAAACCTAAATTCCCTCACAGTTCATAAAAATGGTTGTATGCATAAAAACTTAGTAAAGATTGCTATGATCAGAAAATACTAATATTTGTATACTAATCTTTGTCCTGATCTCTTTGGATTTTTTTTTTCCTACTCATTTTTCCACATTTAAATAGTCCTATCGATTTAACTGTTTTTTTTTTCCCCAGCTTTATTGGGGTATATTGACAAATAAAATTGTAATATACTTAATGTTACTATACTTCCAATGGTACTTGTACTTGAATGATTTTAATGGGATCTTTCCTAACTGCATTTTGGAAATATTTGGTAATTATTGATACTCATAGTGACAAAATGATAACTGAAGGGCTTGCATTATAAATAATATTTGAGTCTCAAAAAAAGTTCAAATACATTCAATGCATTGAATTTTTTTAAAATGTTTTAAAATAAACCCAAGTACCCCATGATAATTTCCTCTTAATCCAAATATTTGATTATTTATCAAATTCCCTAAGCTTGATGATGGAGCTAGGTATCTTTTTTTTTAACTATTCAAGTATAATTGGCATACATTATCAGTTTCAGGTGTACATACAATATAATGATTTGTCATTCACATGTGAAATGATCAAAATAAGACTGGTTACCATCTGTCACCATACAAAGTTTAAAAACTTTTTCCTTGTGAGAACTTCGAAGATTTACTTTTTAGACAACTTTCAAATTTACAGTACAGTCTTAATGATTATAGTCTCCATGGTGTACATTACAACCTCTTTACTTAAAAGTGGAAATTTGTACCTCTTGGTCTCCTGAACCCATTTTTTTCTACCCCCAATAGTCCTCCCCTCTGGAAACCACCATTCAGATCTCTGTATCTGAGTTTTGTTTTGTTCGTTGATTTTTTTTTTTTTTTTTAGATTCTACCTATAAGTGAAATCATACAGTGTTTATCTTGCTCTGATTTATTTCACTTAGTCTAATACCCTAAGTTTCATCCATGTTGTCACAAATGGCAAGATTTCATTCTTTTATAGAGCTAAGTGGTATTTCTTTGTAGATATTATGTTGCATCTTCTCATCCATTCATCCATCAGTGATTACTTAGGTCGTTTCCATATCTTGGCTGTTGAAAATAATGCTATAATAAACACTAGAGTACAACCGTCTTTTCAAGTTCATGCTTTTCATATTCTTCAAATAAATACCCAGAAGTATAGTTAATGGATCATATGGTAATTCTGTTTTAAATTTTTTGAGGAAGCTCCATGTTTTTCATAGTATATGGCTATGCACCATATATACTGTATACTGGTCGTATATTGGCTGCACCAATTTATATTACCACCAACAGTGCACAAAGGTTCCCTTTGCCCCACATCCTCACCAACATTGTTGTTTTTTATCTTTTTAACAGTAGCCATTCTAACAGGTGTGAGGTGGTATCTTATGGCGGTTTTGATTTGCATTTCCCTGATGAGTGATATCAAGCATCTGTTCATGAGTCTGTTGGCCGTCTGTGTATCTTTGCAAAAATGTCTATTCAGATCCTCTGCCCATTTTTTAATCAGGTTGTTTGGGATTTTTTTGTTGTTGTTATTGAGTTGTAGGAGTTCTTTATATACTTTGGGTATTAACCACTCATTGGATAAATGATTTGCAAATACCTTCGTCCATTTCGTGGGTTATTTTGTTGATGGTATCTTTAACTGTGCAAAAGCTTTTTAGTTTAAGGTGGTCCCATTTGTTTATTTTTGCTTTTGTTGCTATCGCCTATGGAGTCAGATTAAAAAAAATGTCTAAAACCAATATCAAGGAACTTTTTTTTGCCTGTTCTAGGAGTTTTGTGGTTTCTGGTCTTACAGTCAAGTCTTTAATTCATTTTGAGTTAATTTTTGAGTGAGGTATAGGATGGTAGTCCACTTTCATTCTTTTGCATGTGGTTGTCCAGTTTTCCCAACACCACTTATTGAAGAGACCATCCTTTCTCCGCTGTGTAGTCATTCTTTCTTTGTACTAGATTAATTGATCATAAATGCATGGGTTTATTTCTGGGCTATCTATTCTGTTTCATTGATCTCTGCATTTGTTTTTATGCCAATACCCCATACTGTTTTGATTACTATAGCTTTGTAATATTGCTTGAAATCAGTAAGTGTGATGCCTCCAATTTTGTTGTTCTTTTTCAAGATTGCTTTAGCTATTCTGGATCTTTTGTAGTTCCATACAAATTTTTACAATCGTTTGTTCTATTTCTTTGGAAAATGCCATTAGAATTTTGATACAGATTGCATTGGATGTGTAGACTGCTTTGAGTGGTATGGCAATATTTACAGTGTTCTTCCAACCCATGAGCATGGAATATCTTTGCATTTACTGGTATCGCCTTTGATTTCTTTCATCAGTGTCTTAGTTTTCAGTGTACAGGTCTTCTACCTCCTCGATTAAATTTATTCCTAGGTATTTTATTCTTTTTGATGCTTGTAAATGGGATTTTCTTAATTTTTAAGTGAAATTTCATTATTAATGTATAAACATATAATAGACTTTTGTATATTGATTTTTGGACCCTGCAAATTTACTGACCTCATTTATTCTAACAGTTTTTTGGTGGAGTCTTTGGATTGTCTATATATAAAATCATGTTCTTGTTGCTCTAGCTAATACTTCCTATACTATGTTAAATAAAAGTTGAGCCATATATATTTTGTTCACAGGGGACAATAATATCAATATACACTTTAAATTAAAAATACCTTCCCAGGGGTGCCTGGGTAGCTCAGTTGTTAAGCATCTGCCTTCGGCTCAGGTCATGATCCCAGGGTCCTGAGATCGAGCCCGCATCGGGCTCTCTGCTCAGCAGGGAATCTTCTTTTCCCTCTCCCTTGGCTTGTATTCCCTCTCTTGCTGTCTCTCTGTCATATAAATAAGATCTTTAAAAAAAAAATAGGTACTTTTATCTCGTGGTTTTCTCCTAAATCACAGTAAAGCATAGAAGTACCCATGCTTCTGGACAGTTACTTAGAATGGGCTTCATGAAAGCCACTGGAGAGTTTTCTGCATGTATTTCACTGGTCCTCATAAGCCATTAAGATTGGTAATTAACTCTACAGATAAGACTAGACCAGAAGGTTAAGTAACTTTCTGAAAATCAAATATAGTAACTGTAAAGAAGATGGTGTGTGTGTGTGTGTGTGTGTGTGTGTATAATTCAGCCATAAAAAAAGAATGAAATCTTGCCATTTGCAACAACATGGATGGAACAAGAGAGTATAATGCCAAGGGAAATAAGTCAGTCAGAGGAAGACAAATACCATATGGTTTCAATCATATGTGGAATTTAAGAAACCAAACTAGTGATCGTGGGGGAAAAGAGGGAGAGACAAACCAATAAACAGACTCTTAACTATAGAGAACAAACTGATGGTTACCAGAGGGAAGGGGGGGAATGGGGGAGAGGTGAAGGGGAGTAGGAGTACACTTACCATGATGAGCACTGAGTAATGTATAGAATTGTTGAATCACTATATCATCCACCTGAAACTAATGTAACACTGTACATTATAAATATAAGCTGGTAAAGGATAGCTGATGATCATAAGTAAGATCATTGTTTTGTTCAGTGAATGTTTGACACGTTGGGTCAGTGATGTGTTCTAACTCTAACGGATGAAATCCAGCGAGATGCCTTCTTATATTGTGTGTCTTACTGGGGCAGGTTTTCTGGTGTTGAAGATGACCTGAGGAACACTAGAATATCGATCCAGATGTCCAAGCCACCCTGTTGAACCTGTTCAGTGCTGACACTGTACTAATTGGACATAGCTTTGAACAGAGTCTGTATGCTCTTAAGGTGAAGAACTACAGCCTCATACTTTTACAGAACAGTATGAGTTAAGATGATAGTCCTTACTATTGCGTTATCATTGATGGTTGATTTGCCCTGTTAACTAAGAAGGAAAGAATTGCTGTCCATGTTGATAATATAGTCCAACCATCAAAAACCAGAAGCAGTGTAAGACAGCTAAAGTCATTTGGCTCATCCAGATCAAAAAGGAAATCCATTAGTTAGAATTAAACCAAAATCATTGTTTGATATTATCTTTAATATTCAAATGGGTGAGACTAAGTTTATCTAACAGGTTATTTTATTCACCTACTTGGAGATACTTTTTCGTGTTAAGTCCAGGTAGGTCTTACAGGTAGGCTCAAAATCAAATGTCATGTTCATTTTTCTTGGCATGATAGACTTGAAAAATCTACGCCTTAATATACTTCAGGTTAACATTATCTATTCTTTGCTCTAGAACAGGAGTCCAAACACTGCAGCTGGTGCTGGCCACCTAGTTTTGCAAATATTTTTGTTAGACCCACTGCCCCCATTCACCTCTGTATTTTCTGTGGCTGCTTTCATGCTACAGCAGCATTGTTAAAGAGTCACAACAGAGACTGTATGGTCTGCAAGCCCAAAATATTTATAGCTTGACACTGTGAAGAGGTTGGTGGCCACCTCTGTTCCAGAACACTGGTATCCAATAGAACTTTCTATATTTTCCACTACCTACTATGGTAGACACTAACCACACTTGGTTATTGAACATTTATATTATGTCTAATGTGACTGAGAAGATGATTTTTTCATTTTTATTAAATTTAAACAGCCACATGCGACTAGTGGCCTACCACTTGCATAGCACAGCTCTTGAACTTTGGAGACATTTGCTGATTGTTTTAGCCACCCCCAGGACTTACCTTCATGCTGAGAAGGGCTAGTTCTTCTTTAGTGCAAGAATACAAATATAGCTATTTAAATTTCATAGGTGAATGTCAACCTCGTTCTCTGTAAAGCACCTGGCATTCAAAGTATAGATCTGTTTCCCATAGCAGTGTTGTCTTTGCACGTGCCAGGTAAGACTGGGATATGCCTCCACCCAGACCTACCAAACTATGCGGAAAGAGAGGTGGGAACGGACCTAAGTTGTCTTTGAGAAAGTTATTCCAGGGATGTCCTTCTGTGGCCCAGAGACCTCACCGCTCAAACTGAACTTCTCACCATGACTCTGTCTCTCCTTTTTCAGGAACCATTCTACTCCACCTGTCTCCTGGATCAGAAAATGTTAAACTGTCATGATTCTTCACTGTAATCAGTCTGTTTCTTCTGCCCAGATAACTCATGGATTTTCCCGTTTTCCTCTATTTCTACCACATCTTCTTTTATTTACTCAATACCCCACAGCCAGGAACTGGTGTCTGGTTGGTAGTTGACTCATTAAAGGAAATTTTACAGTACTTCTTAAACATGGCATACTAGGTGCTTACTGTTAACTTTCCAACTCCTCATTTTTCAGTGAGTCTCTAAATTACACTTGAAGCTCATCTTCTTCCATGCTCCTTTCAAAATACAGCTCCCCTCCACAAGAATCCAAACTGGTACCTCACTTCCTAGACTCTCAATTATCTGACTGCTCTGCTTTTTATCCTATTTTCTGCTTTATGAACTTCAGTGGAAATGTATGCATCATCTTTCATGTATAAGCCCAGGAAACTTGGACATAGATGGGACAGGGTCCTTGTCCGTGCCGCCTCCCCAGACGCAGACACGTAAACACTAATATGTGATGGGTCATGTGCTAAGTTGAGGGGTGTCCCCTTCAGCGGCGTCCCAGGGTGAGAGGAGCGTGGCTCTGCATCCACCCGTCTTGGTTGGAACCTGTCTGCACATGCTGCCCCCTGGTGGTGCTTCCAGCAGGAAAGTGGATCCACAAGTCAGACTGCTTGTGTTTGATTCCCCGGGACCCTCCTAACTCCGTCCTTCATCTCTCAGAGCTGCAGTTCCCTGGACTGTAACAAGGGCCAATATCATAAAAGGGACAATAAAATATCTACCCCATTCGGTTGGTCTGCAAGTTGTACTGGATAATCTACGTGGAGAGCTTAGTGACTGATAGGTCACAGCTGCCTCACGTTCCTTGCCCGCGGAGCATAGTTCTCCCTCTACAATGATCTTTGCAGCGATCAGTGTGGTTATTTTTTGGTTATTTCTGATAGCATTTTCTCATTCACTTGACAGCTAATTCCTATTTCAGTTGTGGACGAGACAGTTCTGTATCTTCATCGGCGAGGTTTGCCTCACAAAAGATCCCTCGCGTCTAGTGGCTGACCACCTGCAGAGAATCATTCAGGACTGTGTAAGAGCCTGTTCACTCATGATTAATATCAGGATCCTAAGTCTGACTTGAGTAAACAAACCATGGGATTCGTGGTAAAAGCTTTGCTCCCTGAAATGCTTAAGGTAGGTTTTTCTTTACGGATTCCCTGCTAGGGTGGAGAACCCTAAAGCATCTGCGTATGTAGACACCACTCAAATGCCCCCCGCCTGGTGTCATCCTGGATCTTCCACAGGCATCAGAACAGCCAGGCCACAGAGAATGGTGGCCAGGTCGCTGTTCAGCAAGTTGCCTGGTCTTGGAGTTCATGTATAAAACTTCAATTGGTGTGGAGGTCTAATTCCAGTCTAAATTTTGCTGGGTACCTCTTTTCATACCAGTTTTTCATTAAATGAGGTTCCAAAATGTACTGGGGTCAGGTCATCTCACCCAGAGTACATTGTGTGTGTTGTGTTAGAAAAACTACTGTTTAAATTCAATAGATTTCATCATATGTGCATGTGATTTGTACTGGCTTGGTGTGTATCTTGCTCTCATAACATCTTGTTTTTTTCTGATGAAATACACCCAACAGTAAACAAGTTAGTCAAGTACATCGAGTATAGCTACAACTACCCTGTTAGTGGCGTTGCCATACGCACAGTTGTGCAGTATCTGCCTTGGAAGGGAGGTTACTCTGTACATTCACACATACCCATGTAGGCTCCTCTTTGGCACAATAGAGAATTCTAAGAAAACTAAATTCTGCCTATTTTAAAATTTGTTACAGTGCTGTGTTTCTAAAGATAACTAAGACATGGGAAGGCCCTCTGACCGTGTCATTAATTGTACAACATACCAGCTGTACCCTATGGTCTTTATTCTTTGATTCTTTGTCTGTTAGACACTACTGCTGCCTCACAGTGGGTCTTTATCTGTTTTGCTAAAAATATATCTCAAAAAATTCCCACAATATTCTATTATCAAATGTAATGTGTTCTATTGAAAACCGTCTTGAACCTTAGACAGGAAAATATTTCACTTAGCAAAAAACAGCTTATATAAACATATACTACCCCATTTTTTCCAGAATAACACAAATGAAATGTTTGGCTTTTTGCCAGATCTTTTACGAATACCTCCCTCTTTGTTGTTTTCTGGAAAAGCGGTTTACAGAGAAGGTAGCAATGTGCTATCTTGTCACAGCAAGGTAGTGACAATGTGCGGAGAGCCTCTGTAGGAAAAGGGAGTGTTTGCTAATCTAGATTTATGTATAATCTTTACAAAGCATTCAGAATCATGTGTTGGTAAGTGCCCAGTGTTAATTTTTTATAAACATGAACTCAAGGCTTTGTTTTGAGAACCGCTGTGGGTAGTATCATGGATACAGTCATTGTGGGTCTAACACATTGTCTTCTATTCTGTCATGTTTGGAGGTCATAGTTCAAGTGAAAATACAACCGCCTAGATGGAACTAGTCCTCTGGAAGGTGAAAGAAGACCTGAAAGGAAAGGAGTGATCGCTCTGCCCGAGCAGATCTTAAATCCCTGCAGTGTGGTTTCAGGGACGCCTCTGCGGCTGGCATTAGAGTTGGGTCTATGACGGTAGAAAGTTTCTTGACCTTTTTCTTCAATTTCCACGGTTCATTTCTAAAGTTGTGAGTGGGGCAGGGGGCGGTTAATGGGGAGGATTAAGTTGCTTTGAATTTTCAACTCCTCTTGATGGATCTAGGGTGACAGGTTTACAAAGGAGTACGGTTTACAGTTGAGCAGTGACCTCCTCAAGGGTCACGTCTCTGGTTACGTACATTTCTTTCTCTCCAAATACCGAAAACTATCATTACCTAACACATTTTTTTAAGGTCTCATATATCAATAGATTTTCCTCACAAAGTAAATGTAAACTTTTCAGTGTACTCTGTTAACATAAAGCTTTGGGTCATTTGGCTGTTGGGTAATGTTTGTATTCTAACTGGTGTACTGTGACTGGATTTTAATTCACAACTTATTTTTTTCAGGCAGTGTCCTAGGGATCTTCTGAACACACTAACCTGTGTTCTCAGTTCCGGACTGTCTCATTCCTTTGAGGGGTTAGCTCCATCTTTCTTGCTTTCTCATTATGGGCAAGTACCTGACCTGATTCAGTTTGATTACCCTTGAGTACGAATCTTCAGTATTAATGTTGCTAACATGCTACAAAATTACAAAGGTTTCACTGCCAATAGTACAGGAGAGTCAGAGCAATTAATAGGAGGGCCTCTGGTGGGAAGTACACCTGCTACCTTCTGACGGTTGCTTGTGAGGAGATGCCCTCAAATGTACGTCAGTTTGGCTGCCTTCGTGTTGTGACTTACAAGTAACTCAGTGATGCCTGAACATTTTTTTCTTGCTGTCCCAGGTACTTCTCAGCCATCTCTCTTGTCATGTACTTGATGTAAAGTAAAATAATACAAATTTTGATCATTATGAATTTAAGTAATATGTAATGAAGAAAGTCAGACTATTGGAGGGGGGGAAGATTTGTTCCAATGCCATATGCAATGAAGGGATTATCTGCATTTTCAGGTCCTCCTTGCTCAGTTCCATGTACTTTCAAACCAGGGGCTGTCAGAATTATCTCCACAACATGTGGTAAAAAGCCCAAGGAGCCAGTGCAGATACCTGGACCTGTCAAGGGCTCTTCCCCGCGTTTCCGGCTGCTGACTCGGTCTGCTAGCAGCCTTGCATGTGCGCTCTCCACTGGAGAACGCCGTTGGGAACAAGGGGCCCTGCTATCGTCTCTGAACACACGAGGTGGACCAAGTGGCAGGAACAGGGAACTTTATGCTCTGTGTCGACCGATTTCACACTATCCCAGTTAAGAGATTGCCGTTCTGGGGCGCCTGGGTGGCTCAGTGGGTTAAAACCTCTGCCTTCGGCTCAGGTCATAATCTCAGGGTCCTGGGATCGAGCCCCACATCAGGCTCTCTGCTCAGCAGGGAGCCTGCTTCCCCCTCTCTCTCTGCCTGCCTCTCTGCCTACTTGTGATCTCTGTCTGTCAAAATCTTTAAAAAAAAAAAAAAAAAAAAAAAAGACTGCTGTTCTAAGCCCGCAGTGGACATTGGCGCACTACTGGGGGCACAGGACGCTGCTACAAGAAAATGGGCTCGCCCGAACACTTCTCGATGTTTTCAGTCCTGCCAGCTGGAGTCCCCACCCACCGCACTACGGGCATCTCATCGACACAGTTGGAGGGCGGGAACTTGACATCAGGCATGACCTAGGAGAAACACTCCCAGACAAAAAACAGGTACGCAAGACATTTATTCACTTACTATGAGATCTCACGGCAATGTGTGCCTACCATATAAACCGCAGACTCACAGCTGATCAACATGGGAACTTTACAATGAGAGTACGTGGTGTTCTGTTGGTACGAATGTCACATGTCTTCCAAATAGAGCCCCAGGCGTCCTACTCGATTTCTTAAAATACACAAAGCACTGTCACCAGAGAAACTAAAACTAAATCCCATTGATTTACCAAACTTGTACTTCTTTAAAGTTCCTTAGATGCACACTGAAGGAGAGTTGAGTCCCCTTTTAGATGGTAGCACTCTGGATTGACTCGTGGGCTCTGGACACACATGACAGCAGGGTCCAATGAGCAAATGACATTGAAATGGCTTCTACAGTTGAGGAATTGAAGAATCCCTTTTAAATGTTCAACTATGTCCTGATAGAACTAACCTCTTTCCCCCACTTTCCTCACCGGTGCCATCAGGGTTGGTGTGACATTTATTAACATCTTTCTTCTATACAGCAAAACATTTTACAGCATTCACTATGAAGGTAAATATCCCAAAAAATCCAGAATGATAATGAGTTAGGCATCATAGTAATTGTACTCACACACCTTCCTGTAAAGTCCATATTTTTAGAAAAATATATTATTGCATATGAAACCACAAACAGGCATTCTGAGTTCAGCACATTCTTACTCAAAACGGTATATACAGTCCTAGTAGAGTCGAAGGGTCCTACAGATTCACACGCATGGGTTTTTGTGGTCTCGTCCCAGACATACAGCAATATATATACACTTGTATATTCTGTGTCCCCTCTCTTGGTAGAGTCTTGCTGGCTTTCTTGGCATCAAGGGTCTGACAGGCCGGGGAAGGGGCAACATTACGTACGGATGGGTGTGACTTGTTCTAGGCGGCTTCCTCAGCCGAGCAGTCGATCCCGGCATAGGCGAACTTCTCATAAAGCGTGGTATTCACATAGGTCTACGAGAGCAAGAGTGGTTTAGAACAACAGTGTCCAGAACAGTGGTCCAACAGTGTTCTGCCACCGCCAGGGGCAGGAATCATCAGACCCTAGTTTTCTTAACTTGTTTTGATTCAAATACTAGGTACCTGGGGGACGTTTTTCTGTCCTCAGTCCCCATGTTGTATTTGCTGGCTTTCTTCCTGAAATGCATCCCTGGCCTTCTGCACCTAAGACTTCACCCTTGTACTCTCCTCAATCTCCAGGCCATTCTTTCTTGTCCCGGTGTGGTCCCCCTGGAAATGTCCCAGTCTCTCAGGATCGTTCTCAGTCCCCATTTCTCTCTGACCTCACCCACATCTCTGGTTTAATTACCACTCGGGTGGTGGTAACTTTCCGTCCAGTTCCATAACCTAGATTTGTCTTTTCAACCTCAGATTTGTACAGCCAACCACCTGCTGGACCTTTTTATAGAATTCCTGCCCCTAACCCCTAGAGACCTGCAGACCAGGCTGTACCAGCTCCCGGCTGTGTGCCCTTGGACACATCACTCTCCCCTCTTTGTATAGATTCCTTCTGCAAAATTCAAGAGTCAGGCTCCATTACTGATGAGGTGCCTTCTAACTCTGAGGTAATTCTATCTGTCCTACCAAGTGACTCTCTCTTTTATGGAAATCTGATTAACTCAGACATTTTAACATCCTCAGAGCTGGGGGCCACGTCCTTTATGTCCCGCTATTGCCTCAGGCTGCGCCCAGACACCTTGTTGAACTGTATCAGCTATTTCTTTTTAACCATGGGGGATGTGATGAACTGTGACTCCAGAGTCTGCCTGGAACTCCGTGCTCACCTTGCGTTCTTCTAACATCCTGTTCAAGGACACCAGGATCTGGGCAAACGAGGGCCTCTCGTAGGGCTTCTCGCGCCAGCACTGTCTCATGAGGTCATACCTGTGAACACAAAGGGTTAAGCAGTGAACTCTGTGACTCTGCTTCAGTCCTGGGCCTGTCCTGCTGTGGGGCACCAAAACGAGAGAAGAGAGGGAGCCATTTCACACATGGGCATCTGCGCTTAAACAGCAGCACAAAAGTAGAGCATCGAGTTTCTCTCTGGCCTCCCCCCTCCCCCCACCGGTCCCCCTTTCTTCTGTCAGTAAAACTAGTGCCCATCCTGAGTACCATTCCTGCGGGATCTTGGTCTCAGCTCTCCTGACCTGGAAAGAACCGACTCATGCATGCATCTAGGGCAGCATTTCCCTTGGAATGCCACATCTCTCAAAATGTTAATAATTCTTTTTTTTTTTTTTTTTTAAGACTCCATGCTGTAATAAATTTGCAAGATTCCCACCGATTGCGTCTCCCCCTTAGGGAGTAGCAGAGTCAAAGCTTGAGAAGTCTTGCCCTTACAAACAAAAAAACCCGTGTAACCTGACTTAACCTGGAACTTGCCCCATGTAAGCGACCATAGAATTCCTTCCCTCTTATATTACCTATTTGCATCTTGTATGTCCCGGGAACACCGTGTGGAAGCACTGGTCTAAGGCAGTACACCCCCCAATGTGGTCAGAACCACTTGCATTAAAATGCAGATTCCTGGGACCCACCCTAGACCTATAGAAGCAATGTCGGACTATCGGACTATTGTAGGATCTCTGATATGAGGAATTTGAGAGGCAGGCTGGGGGGCTGTGGAGGGTAGGGAAGGAAAAAATGAAACAAGATGGGGTTGGGAGGGAGATAAACCTTAAGAGACTCTCAATCTCACAAAGCAAACAGGGTTGCTGAGGGGTAGGCAGCAAACAGGGTGGCTGGGTGATGGACATTGGGGAGGGTATGGGCTATGGTGAGTGCTGTGATGTTTCTAAGACTGATGATTCACAGACCTGTACCCCTGGGGCAAATAATACATTGTATGTTAATAATTTTTTTTTTTTTTAAAGAAGCAATGTTGGGGGGAAGGGCTCAAAATTTCACATAGGGAATAAATTTTTTTTTTTTTTTATTTGACAGATCACAAGTAGGCAGAGAGGCAGGCAGAGAGAGAGAGAGGAGGAGGAGGCAGGCTCCCTGCTGAGCAGAGAGCCCCATGTGAGGCTCGATCCCAGGACCCTGAGATCATGACCTGAGCCGAAGGCAGAGGCTTCAACCACTGAGCCACCCAGGCGCCCCAAGGAATAAATGTCTTAAGGGAAACTTACAGGCACAGAAGTCTAGCAACCTAGCATGGTCTAGGTTCATGCCTCTTGTACCAGAGTCCTAAGGAATAACACGCTTTCTCAGAAAGTAACTCTGTGTGGATAATAAATTCTTTGCCGAACCTAGCACCTTGCCCTTTCACATTACACGCTTCAGGCAGCAGCTCCTTCAGGGAATTCTGGGAATGGTGGTTTCACAAAAGCTAGTCATTCTTCCCTGGGGAGTAATTCTTATTTCCTGGAAAATGATCCTTGCAGAATCAAGATTCTGTGATTAAAAAAAAAAAAATCCATCTTCCTAACGTCACAGCTCTGAAATCTCTCTCTCCAAGGTTAGCCTCAAGGTTTCATACATTTATTTATGGATTTCAGATCTTTTCTGCATTTGGGGCCTTTCCTCATTCCCACCTTCCTGATATCACTGCCTTAAATTCCTGCTGGATTTCTATGCCAATAAAGCTCTTCACTCCCTGCCCACTGCACCATGCTCTGAGTTTAAGGAGCCCCCTACCCTCCTCCTCTATTTTGGCTGTTTGGGATGGTGACGTGTGTATGAATCAGACACCCCTTCCATGAGAGTCTGTGTGTTCAAGAAATGTGGGGGAGGTCAAGATGAAATGGCCCCAGCGCGGAGCCTGACTTACACCTCGTCATCACAGTTCAGGGGCTTCTCCAGTCTGTAGCCCTGGGGCAGCTTCTCGTAGAGCTCTGCACATGTCATCCCACAGTAGGGGGTGCCACCTGGAAGACAGAAAACCATGTCACCCTCAGGCCCTGCTAATTGGCACATGGGGTCTCCTGCCTTAAGCCTCTCAAGTAGAGAGACGGGGAGAAAGGGTGTGTCAAGGGAGGTGCCCACCCAGCGTGACCCTCCCCTCTGAGCAAACCCACCACACAGCACAGCTGCCCAGATGCCACCAACCGCGTCAGAGGGCAGCCATCCCCTCTGTGGAAAGATCCAGCTCAGGGCTCACAGGGCTATTACTCTACTCACAGGGCTCTTCTCCTCCCTGAGTCAGCCCACACAACTTGTCTAGCGTACCAATGAGCAGTATCTTTTCCCTACTTGGGAGTCTGCCATTAGGTTACCCACTTCCTGTTTGATCTGTAATAGTTACTGTCCAATGATAGAAAACTTGGAAAATACAAAAAAGTAGGAAGAGAGCAAGTAATAGTGTGTATCACTCTGGTGTAGTCTTTCCGGGTTTTTCATGGGCAGTATTTACACAACGGGGCCCTAGTGTAAGGCAGTTGCTGGGTTTTGACACACGCGTTTTCACAAGCTATTAACTGGCCTTCGGAAAGGACTTCTCACGGCTGTGTAGTGTGCCATCTTCAAGTTGTACAAGCGATGGTTCTGGGACATCCCTGCGCCCACAGAGACAAGCTCTAGTGTAGCTCACAGCCACCAGGTTGTTAGT